ATACAACATATGCACCATTCAAGACTACAACTCTACAAGACCTTCGGGTCAATGTGTCTCAAGGGACATCCGTCCCATAGTCCTGGTAGACCTTCCGGTTCATATCATCTTGACCTTCCGTCTCTCAAATCGGCTCAACCAATCCATGCTCACTATAATGCAAACGTCACCTATCACAATTGGGACCGGATCTATCGGGAACTCAACACCGAATATCTCGAGTACACATCCTAGAATCACGTCAGTAGCATACACCGCTCGCTCGCAGCTATGGAAACTCGTAGAGGTCGACTCGACGCCTCTCGTCGAATACTTATGTGCTGACTAAACGCTAACGACACAAATGATCGACTCGCACCTGAGTCAAATAATACCAAAGCAGGTATAGAACACACAAGAAAAGTACCTACGCATATCATAATATAAGCACAATATCTCAACTCAGCATAAATGAATGAAAGAATACATATCAGCCACGACATCGGACGTTGCGCGGACCTCGTCCGCTGTCAACTGGAAGACTCTCCTGCGAGCCTTCGGTGCCTCGGCCTTCACTGGCCGACCCTCATTAGCTCGTGCAGTAGCAGGGGCAGATCCCTGCACTGATCCCTGAAACAGCTGTGGGTACTCAGCCTTCCGGTGACCCGTGTGGTTGCAATGAAAGCAAAAAATAAATCCCTTGGGACAGTCCTTGGCTATATGCCCCTCCTTGACACATTTGTAGCAAGCACCCACTCGACACACTCCATTATGTCCCTTGCCGCACTTCCCTCAAGTACGAACCTTCTGGCCTCCAGATCTCGTATCAGCGGGCTTAGCCCGCTTGATTGTCGGTTGTACCTGTATCGATCGCCTTTCCCTCCTCTGAGACTCGGCATCCTCCCTGGCCTGAGTCTCTAGCTCAATCTCCCTCTTCCAGGCATTTGCTTGGAGCTTAGGAAATTTCAGGTAAGTCGAGTTCACCACGAACTCCCGAATATCCATCCTCAAAATGCTCAATATCGGCTCATGCGTGCCTGCTCAGATGACACGTGTTCATGGCAAAACAATGCCCTCTGGTGAAACATCCGTGTAATCACAGTCACGAACTCTGTCACTTGCTTGAGGGACAAGAACTCATGAGCCATCCATTCCATCAAACTCTGATGGCTTCGTGTTGTTGAACTCTCGGTACAGCAATGAGTTAGTCCCCCTGTGGCCTCGCGGCAGCCAACAGCTGTTGTGGCTGCAGCAGCAGCCACCTCGGTAACAACAGCGTACCTCTCATCAAATGTCTCAATCTGTGTGGTCTTGATAGACTCAAACATCTCTGGAATGGCCTCCCGGATCGCCGCGACCACCTCGTCATGTATCATCCGACAAATCTCCTCGTCACTAACGCCACTGCCCCATGGTGGGTGGCGTGTCCCAACGATGATGTCTCTGAAACACAACACAAAAGATATCAGAGACTTTCTCGAGTATACTCGCACTCGATACTCAACCCTACTTGTTCCTTGGTACCCAAAGGATTCTTACTTGGACTGCTCACCGACCCGGTGCCTCCAGTAGTACGAGCCCTATACTATCTTCCACACGGCATCAACATTCATTCCAAGTCCTCCGCCTAGGATCTCATATCACAAGTACTCTACATATCGCTAAGCATAGGCTACCCTTTGGTAGACTTCTCATAAGCTCCTCACTGCTACCTACTCACTCTTGAAGCATCTCATAGCAGCAGTAATCTCCTAGGCTAAGGCATCACAAATCAGGCCACTCTAGTCCTAATAGGAATACCTAGCCTACTCTAGCATGCACACTCCTTTACTTTTTAGAAAATTTGTTTCTTTTATGAAAAAATTTCCCAAACCTCGGTTTGAGTTCAAATACACCCGAAGGTGCATCCGAATCCCTCAAACCATGGCTCTGATACCAAATTGTAACAACGTGAATTTCCAAAACAATTTTTTTTTTTCATTTTTAAAACAGAATTTCATTAATAAGAAATATCAAATCCAATGTAACACATGTCTTCCAAATAAAACAATCCCAAAGATCTCAAATACATAAAACTCCATCAATGTGTACAGATCATGCTGACGCCTTCCCGCGATCCTCGCTGGTACCTGAAACACATATCAGATAAACGGTAAGCATAAATGCTTAATGAGTCCCCCAAAATACCAAATACAGCACATACGCCATTCAAGGCTACAACTCTACAAGACATTCCATTCAATGTGTCTCAGGGTACTTCCATCCCATAGTCCTGGTAGACCTTCCGATCCCACTTCTCTGACCTTTCGGTCTGTATCATCTTGACCTTCCAGCCCATACACTGTTGACATTCTGATCCATATCATAATACTCATAACATAACATAGCACATACATATCATATAACAACATGCATTGCATACTCATCATGTATCTGGCTTACCTCCGCAGGTAGCTCTAAACGATATGCTACCCTGCCCACCCTCGCGGTCATACTGAAAGGACCAATGTACCGGGGCCCCAACTTGCCCCTCTTCCTGAATCGGATCACTCTTTTCCAAGGAGATACCTTTAGGAGTACGAAGTCACCAACCTGAAACTCGAGCTCGAATCATCGCCTATCCGCATAACTTTTTTAGCGACTCTGAGTTGTCAGCAACCTTTTTTTGACCTGTTGTATCTGCTCGGTCGTCTGAAGAACTATCTCAGTGCTACCTATCACTCGATGCCCCTACCTCTCCCTAGTAGATGGGAGTCCGACACCTCGTCCCATACAACAACTCGAAGGGAGGCATACCAATACTCGAATGGTGGTTGTTGTTATAGGAAAAACTCAGCCAATGGTAAGGATGTGTCCCAAATTCCTCCGAAGTCCAACACACATGCTCAAAGCATGTCCTCGAGCGTCTGAATCACCCGCTCACTCTGTCCATCCGTCTGTGGGTGGTAAGCAGTGCTGAAATGCAGCCTCGTACCCAACTCCTCATGGAATTTCTTCCAGAATTTGGAAGTAAAACGTACATCTCGATCTGACACAATCAAGATCGATACTCCATATCGCGATACCACCTCTCTCACATACATCTATGCCAGTCTTTATACAGAAGAGCTCTCACTGATAGCAAGGATGTGAGCGCTCTTCGTCAGCCGGTAAACGACCACCCAGGTCGATAACCTCTCTAGGTAAAGTATAGTGAGAAGACTCACCTCGTACGATGTCGGATAACCTCTTGTGCTCGATAAACCGACCTAGACTCCTCCTATCAACATAATAACATCTTTAATAAATACTTTCTCTTGTCCTTATTTCTAAGAATGGGTAGAAGACCATTCTACCCTTCCCTGGCCTCTATTGGACCAGCTTCCCTAAGGTCAATTGAAGTAAACTCTAGTCAACGGTCAAACTTTGACCAAACCCATCGAGTGCACTCGTGTGACTCGGCGAGTCCATGCATGTCCTCTTAATCCTCATAAATCCTCACTCGACTCGTCGAGTTAACCTTTCACTCGACGGGTTACCACTGGTCATGAATCGCGTGGCAACCCGACTCGACTCGCCGAGTCCCCTTATGGACTCGGCAAATTCCCACCATGGCAACACTCAAAAGACCTTCTGAGGTCAGATCTGCTTATCTATCCTATAGATCTGGCCTTCCAATACACAATAATCACGTAAAGGCCAACCTTTACACTCATGCAACACTCATAGGGCTTATTTTTGTGAAATAGCTTCTAAAATGGAAACCTAGGTTCATATCTCCAAAGGAATAGCATAAAGCATGATAGATAGGACTCTCTGGACCTCTTAAGGTCCAGGTCTAAGAAGAATTCCACCTTGGGACCTCATATGCTTCAAACTCAATCTAAAGAAGGCATAAGAAAACCCCTTATTCAAGTAGATCACCATACACGAGAATAAGCATAGATTTATACCTCTAGCAGCCTCTTCTGATCAAATGGTAGTAGATCTGAGCTCCTCAATCTGCATAGCTTGCCCTCCTTCCTTCTTTCTTGCAAGATCACACTAGAAATGATGAAAATGGCTTCTTTCCTCACTCACAATGCTCTCAGGTTCTCTGGTGCTCTCAAGGGTGTAGGTGGCCACAAATGAGGGCCATAAGGTCCTTTAAATAGGGCACATACCCGAGGATTTAGGGTTTCTGTCCACAGCGCGGACTCGTCAAGTCAACTTGCCGACTCGTCGAGTCCATTCATTAAATCCAGTCAGCTATCGCAATCCTACTCAACGAGTCTAGACGTTAACTCGTCGAGACCCTCTTATTGACACAAACTAAATAATTAAAATATGATACCTGGAATTCCGGATGTTATAGGGATGTTATATTGTCTTTATGATTTATTGTTATTATATCACATGTGACGGTACTATTTTATCAGTATTCAATTCTTCTGTTGGTCCACAAATGTACACTCCTCCCAAAAATCAATCACTTTCAATTCGGATGTGGATCCCATGTGATGTTCCCTTTTATATGTGTGATCCTCATTTGAATACAATACCCAATACCTTTTACCTGTATTGGTCCACAATTCATGTTCACTTGTCTGTTGTACCCATGTGATATTCATTATATTCAATTATTTTGGTCCACAATAACCAATGCCTTTTATCAGTATTCAATTGGACTTAACAAGACAATTTAGTGGAACAAAAGTATAGTAACAAAAAGATGCTTGTTTCCAGTAGATACAAAAGTGTGTGGGGGCATACAAAAGTAGCTTAAGTTATAGGGGTATTTACCAAACAAGGGCATTTACATCAATACAAATACTAACCTATATCCTACCAACCAAAAACCACAGAAGATTTTCATATCCCCAATCCCAAGTTTACAAAAAGGGCATCTATACCACCAAAAACCATAAACTAACCCAACCCCTTAACCCCAAGCATCTTTATCCCACTACCTTTGCTTTCTACATCATCAACACAGCAACAAGAAGCATAAGAAACATCATAGCAATCATGAACTTCATCCTCACGAACTTTAACTCACCCCTCTATTGTTTGTTTTCTTCAACAGCCATGGCTAACTCACCATCAACAATTTCTTTAGCAACAGTAGCTTCAGCATTCAGGTTCTCCAACAAAGCTACCCTTCTCTCTAGTCTTGCATCGTAACTAGTTTCTTTCATTAGTTGCAACTCATACTTGAGATTGTTAAATACATCATTGTAGTGTGGTGTCAGCTCATCAGTGATCCACCTGAAGTATTTACACTTCTCAGTTGCCAAACATACCAACGAAATATTTAGTCACACACAACACAAGCTCGTTCCACTATCGACTTAATCGAGAACATTAAACCTCAGCTTAACATTATCTCTATTGTTTGATAAGCCCTAAATCCACAATGTCGACAACACATTTAAAGAAGATGATACTTACCAAAAAGTCAATGTTGTTGCGAAATCTACTAGCTGGATTCTTATCTGACATCGACATCCTTTCTACGCTTAACTTTGGATGACGACAAGCATACAAGTTCTTGTCACGATTCCTAGTAGCAAGAACAGTTTGGTTCTCGGAAGATGATCCAGATGAGTATGCCATCGAAGGAGAAGATGATCGATTCTTAAGGGTTTGTGATTAAAAAATATATGTTATAAAGTGGAAATGATCTTGAATATCGTGTCTTCATTTTGGGCACTCTTAATAGCTTATTAATGAAGCTGATCCGTCACCTCCTAACTGTGTATCTACGTGGACAACATTGTCCACCTATTCAGTAAATTAATGGATAACCGGCAATTGTGGATAAATTTTAACGTAACTTGTAAAAGACAAGTAATTTTCAAGTTTAGGGGTCATAAATGCCAAAAAAACATAATTAGTCTTTTAAAACCTAATGTAGAAGTTAATTGGTTCTCTATGACAAAAAAAACTCAAAAGAAAAAAAAATGTATATCACCTAAAGTAGAAATTGATTTAAGTAAGTAGTTGTGTAATGCGTTTAACCGAAAAATAAAATGTAAACGTTTTACAATTTTTTTACACGCCATGCATTCATATATTAAGAAATTCATCAATATTTTGGTGATTTTATTTAAAATATAACAACTTGTTTTTTGGAATTATTAACATATACTTTATATGGAAAAGATATCGGTGAGATAGATGCTTGCTTTTTACTTTACGACTTGTTTTTTAATCAATAAATTTGCTGTTTTATGGGTTCAGCACAAACCAAAAAGTTATTCGGGTTAAATCAGAATGAAAGAAAGAAGATTCTAGATAAAAGGAAAAGAAAGTTATCAATAGTTAAAAGTACACTCGGACTCGAGGTTTCAACAAAGAGTTAAATCACAAAACTAAAAACAAAATCTATATTTCTAACTATATCCCAAAACACCAACAACTATGTAAAAAGATTTTGAAAGATAAAGAGAGAAACATGAGAGAGGATGAGAATGAAAAGAGTGCCAAAATCATATGGTTATTTTTAAAATATGATTCCGTTTATTATGTAAACAAAATCATATGGTTAGTTTGTAAAAATATTACGAATTCATAAACCATTCTTTGCTGACAAATGGTATTTTGTGGTTGATGTGATTATGTTTATTTTTACCAGATAGCCTAAAAAAATAGACTTCCTCTAATATATAAGAGATAACTTAAGAGTAATCAATAATCATTCCAAAATACTATTATACATTGTCCCTCAAAATCCCTAAATAATAATGCAACTACAAGAGCTTTGTCTCTCTTACTAAATTTTTTAATTGAATTTTTTTTTTCTTTTCATATCAATTTTCAGTGATACAAAAATCATTGGGTAGTTTTTTTTTTTGGCTAATATTATATAATTTTAACAAATTAACTTTGCCATTCATACTTACCAAAAGACAAAAAATTCACAAATCTCAAATAAAAATAAAATATATGTCATTGGGCCCCAATCTCCAACAGAAAATAGACCATATTCCTATCAACCAAAGAACAGACATGATGTAGAGTCACATGCCCCAAAAGCCTATCAAAACACTAAAGATGCGATACGATGCTATGCACATGGCTTCCTGTTTACACCTCATTAATTCCAACAAAACGACACTCCGTTTCAAGAAAAACGACAATCTCCACCTCCTGATTCGACATTCAGAGTCTCATCTAAAACACATGCATTAACCACTTGTACCTTAAGAAAGTCGTATGAAGAGTGAAGATAATCGAATAACAACGAACGAAGATAATAATAAGTAGAACAAGAATTCATAAATGCAACAGAGTGATATGATAAGATAATATTCATAAAAATTATATAAAATAAATAAATAAACAAGTATCGATCATCATCGTCCAACATACAATAATCATAGAAAAGCTAAAATCAACAACTAAATAATAAATAATAACAATGAAATAAAAGTAAAAAAATATGAAGAATCACGAACGACCAAAACGAATCACCACATACTGACGAAAAATCTCGATCGAAAGCAGATCTCTACAGGACCAAAGCAGCAGCTAAGACAGCTACAAAACCAGATCCAACAGAGGCGACTCTGTTCAAGCTAGCGGCGTTAGGCGACGAGGTAGGTGAGTCGGTAGGAGTAGAAGCGATGGAAGGAGGTGAAGCACCGGGTGCTCCGCTAGGAGTGACGGCAGTGGGAGGAGCAGGTGGAGAAGCCAACGGAGACTCAGTTGGTGATGAAGTAGGAGCAGTGGAAGGAGGAACAACAACCGGTGTCGGAGGTGTAGCGGTGGGAGCGGCAGTTGGGGAGACGGTTGGTGCGGAGGTCGGCGACTGAGCAAGAGCAGATCCTGCAATCAATGCGAATAGTAGTAGTACAATAACCATGCTTGAAGATGCCATTGTTGTTTTGTTTCTCTCTCTCTTAAAAGCTTCAGAAAATTCTAGAGAGAGAAAGTTGAAGATGATACGACTGGAACAGCGTACGAGGGTTTATATAAACAGGGTTTTGAGTCGGTTCCAGACTATTTTTTATTTTTTTATTTTATTTTTGACAACTCATAGAGACGTAATCGTGGCCGTTAATTTTCCGTCATATTCCGCTTAAAACAATTAGTCTCCATCACCATACACGTGTCCAACGAGAGAATATCACAGCCCTGGATGTTTATGCGTACAAAAGTAAGGTAGAGAGATAAAATAGTTTGGTGGAATTATTCTCCCTTTCAGTATCTATATGATTACGCATATATTAGTACAAGAACGACTTTGTATTAATTCCACATCCTATCAATTAAAGTTATATACAGGTGTGTTTGGATTAGTTTTTTTTTTTTTATTGTTTATAGCTTATTTGTGGTAGAAATAAGCAATAAATATGATGAGGGATGTTTATTAAAATTAGCTTATTTAGTTTAATAAGTTTGATTTTATTCAAACACTCAAATTAACTTATTATGGGAATAAACAATAAACACTTTTTTTTTCCTATCCAAACACCCCCATATGGTATTAAACTATTAATGATAACGATAATTTATAATAAAAGATGAGAAAAAACTAAATTACACTAACTATACAAATTATTTTCTAAAATGTACGTAAAATTAGAAAGATGATCATTCTAATCATGATTTTCACAGAAAATCTTTTAATTTTATCAACGATATATATTCATACTATTAACCTACCAATTTTAACTCTATCAACTAGATATATACATACTATTAGATAATAGTTAGAAGATGTTTAGACACACATAGGAAATATACATGGTATATGTATATAAATATATTGGTGATAAAACCATATTATTATTTATTAGGTATGAGATTCGTATATTATATGAGTTAATTTAAAAAAAATATATATTAAATATTAATGTGTAAGCAGTAAATATTTTTAACGTAAAATTTAGGGTAAATTACACGAATCATCCCTCATGCAAATGCCAAAATACACGTTTAGTCCCTATTTTCAAAAATTAACTCGGACCGTCCTTCATATCGTAAAAAGTTTCACGCTTCATCCCTTGTTAGTTTGAATTTGCACGTTTCATCCCTTGTAAGACATGAAATGACTATAATACCCTTTTTAATTTCTTTTTCATTTATTTTTACATTTATTATTATTATTATTATTATTATTATTATTATTATTATTAAAAATTATTTTTATCAGGAAATCTCTCTCTCTCTCTCTCTTTCTCTCTCTCTCAGGCACACACACCTGTTGAAGAAAACTTAATCACTACCACCACACTGGAAATCTACGCCACCATCGGAAATATGCAAACCCACCACCTACAATCTACCACTAGTCGGCATCATTGTCCACCTTTAACAACCACCGGCAAAGCACCACCACTAACCAATGAAATCAAATCCAAATGAAATTCAAATCTCAAATAAATCAAAATCCAAACAAAACCTAGAAATCAAACCTTAAACTCAATTTTGAAAACCAGTCCGAAAAAAAAAAACTTCAAATCTATTGAAACCATCACACTTAACCACCACCATAACCTGTAATCTGCACCACTTCTGGAAATGGAGCACCACCGCTAACCATCGCCATTTACCCTCACCTCACCAGTTGTACTGTGTTCATCGTCTTCCCCATCACAGTCGACAAAATAAGGGATGTTCTTTTTTCGTCTTCGATGTGCTGGAAACTCGAGTAAAGCATCAAATTCTGAAACAATCAGCTTTTGGGATTTTTCTTGATTCAATTCCAGTGGGGGTCAATTTGGGGTTTTTATGAAACCAAACCCTTCAAATCTAGTGAAATCATCATTTTCGGTATGAAATCGACAAGTAGATGGGCGGCGATGATGCATTAGGAACCTGCAAATCTTGTTCTGGCATGAGTGTCATAGATAAATTTGGTTTTAGATGGTGAAGGTTTCCAAATCGGATGGTGGCTGGAGGTGGAAGTAGAACCTTCGGTTTCATGATCTCACCGGAGTGGCTTCAGGGTTGCCGGCGAACATATTAGGCGGTGGTAGTGAGAGGTTCAGGGGTCGCCGGAAGGGGAGGTTGTTTGATCGATGGAGATGAAGACGAATGGGTGTGAATGAGAAGGATGCGAATCTGGGAAAGGGAGGGATGGGCGGGTTTGTGTCAATATATTTTTTTTTAATTTTCTTTTTAATTTAAAAATGATATATAAATAAATAAAATTGAAAAAGAAATTATTAAGGGTAAAATAGTCATTTTATGTCTGTAGGGACGGTCAGAGTAAAAAAACGTTTATTCAGGGACGGTCCGAGTTAATTTTTGAAAATAGGGACTGAACGTGCATTTTGGTACTTGCACGAGGGACGATTCGTGTAATTTACTCTAAAATTTAAAATAAGAAAGAGAGAAACGTATTCATTGCAATTTAATTTCATATATATTATATTTAATAATTTACATATATAAGTATGATTTTAATTTTAAAATTTAAACAAATAAGAAATTGACAAATGGATAATATTTATTTCAAAAATACTACAAAATGATTAGTGTCAAAACTCATAAGATTGACAAGTAACAAAATTATTTTCATTTATTAGATAGGATATGTTATTAACAAACTTAATTAAAAAAATTTTAAAAATAGATTAAAATAAATAAATTGATATAAATGTCTAAGTCACTAAAGTGGGGTGTTTTGCGAATTGCGATTATGAAAACATATGTATGTTTTCGTTTATGAAGATTGAAGAGCACGTTGTTAATGGGTAAAAAGTGTGAAGAACACATAAAAGTAGGAGTGTTTTTGAAAATTTGAAGAATATTATTACGTTACCGTTATGATGAGCACGTTGTAGAAGGGATTTAACTAAATTAGTTTTCGTTCATTTTAGTGGGCTACAATTATTTTTGCGTACACATGGAATGTGTATTTTAAATTGATTATTATAATGTAATTATAACAATTATTTATAATGTTTATAGTTTAAGTAAATAAGGTTTGTTTTTGTTAATCAAATAATTACGTTTGTATTAAACAGAATAATGAGTTTTTATTTTATTTTTACTTATTTTACTAATTATATTGCTCATAATTATTTTATTTAATTGTTTTCTAAACAATCATTTTACCAAACATTTGAATAATCGATTATTTAATTTACTACTAACTTTACGTAATAGAAAGACATCCCATCATTACTTTCCACCACCTATCTTATATAAATATTTTATTTGATAGCAGTATTATTCGATATTATATACTGATTTCCTAATTTAAAATATATTTAATATGTGATTTGGTAGAAAAAGCAATGTTCAATTTTCTGTAATGACCTTTTAACTTATCGTTCTATATGAGAGTATAATATATGTGGCAACTGGCAATATATATATATATATATATATATATATATATATATATATATATATATATATATATATATATATATATATATATATATATATATATATATATATATATCATTATGAGAGTATAATATATGTGGTTCCCATTATTCAATTTTAAAACCACATACATATCATTATGTACGGACATGAATATAAGTCTTTCAACCATTACCATTGCCATTCATTCATTCACGAGATCTTTAATACATACACATACAAAAGTTGTTAAAAATACTCACATCCAAACTCTATATCTACCTTACATTCAAACATAATGATCATGTACCCATCCATCCAAAACCCAAAAAACTTTCTACTGTGACGATCATCTACACATACACTACATAAAAGACTGGTTGGAATTACAAATCATCAACCATCATTACTAGCATATGATCAGATGCATTTCAAGCACACTTCAACCACATCCCAATGATTGCAATGACCAAAAATAGGATCAAACACTTAGCAGTTCCCAGGTAAGACTTCATCATACTAATTTTTTTCTTCACCCCCATCAACTCCTTGTCGAAAAACATTCTTCTCGGCTTCCCTTTCTTGCTGCAACATAACCAATTTCTTTTGTGCCTTCGCAACCTCACTATGGTCTTCCTTTTGGCGTAGCTCAAACCTCATCTAACGAAGTTGATCTTTGTAATACACCTCATCCAGTTCATTGTCTTTCCACATAAACAATTTACATTTTGGACCTTCAGCTGGCTGATTAAAAAGGAAGAAGAAAATTAGGATTATGATTAGGGAAAATGTGTACATTTTCCAGCTACCGATAGCAAATAGAGTGTAAGTAAAGAAAAAGAATACTCACGAAGGAATTTTTGCAGTTCCAAAACCTTCGGGCTACATTATCATTGATCCCATCCTTACAGCCACATGGGAGACATGGTGCATCATCACCATGGTGTCGAAGACGAAGACTATTAACGGATCAAGCAGAAGAGGCATATATGACTTTGATTTTAACGATGAAGAAAGGGCATCGGGAGGGAGGGAATGACCTAATTTGGGGTAACAACGTATCACTCTTGGTTCGATAAAAGGATCCATTTAAGGAAGGTATGGCACCGTATCCAGTTGCATGGTAAGGTATAAGTCCACGCATGTGAAGACACGTCAGCGTGTAACCTGTTAACCGGATACAAATTCCATCAAGGGTATAATTAGTTGGTATTTCCTGACGATAATGAATAATTGAACATAAAACATACATGAATGACTATATGTGCAAAGTGACCAAACTTCGTTGTGCTACAATGCTAAAAACCCAAATATAAACCACATAAAGTCTCCTATTCCTTAAATCTTGTTTGCCTGATTTTATTTATATTAATTAGTACAAATTATTAATGTGAGACAAATGGATGAGAACGAGAACTTGAGTAATAATATAAACTACTTTATTATTAATAATAATTTATATTATGTAATGTCATCAAAACCGGATATATATATATATATATATATATATATATATATATATATATATATATATATATATATATATATATAGGGGAGGGTTCATGCGAAAATGCAAATAATTTGCGAAAACGTGAAAACAATAAAAACCTATGATATTATGTCACCTCAACATTATATTTTGGAAAATAATTCATCCAAACTTTGAAATACATGATGATAATCGATGATAGATGATAAACTGTTTCATATTAGCAAAGTATGATTTTTAACATTTTTATTATGAAAACATGAATTTAAAAATGATTAAAGACGTGAAAAAAATATAATTATAAAAACCGTCTTTAAATCTATATTACCATAACACCATCCAATTCAAACTTACTATCTTTAATTTATTGCTAATAAAATTACTTTTTTATAGTACATGTGTTTAATTTTCATAAGATAAAATCTGTTTTCGCGTTTTCGCAGGATATTTATATTTTCGCATGAACTTACTTCTATATATATATATATATATATATTATATATATATATATATATATATATATATATATATATAAAATTAGGCACAAGAATATAATTTGTATTACAAGTGAAAATAAATATGTGCTTGGTAATTCTCGTTGTAAATTTTTAATCATGTCAATTAAATAACCATTTTATCTTTTTTTTGGTTCCAGTTGTCGTACCATTTACCATCCATATCCTATTGGCTATTACAATTCGTTAATATTTGGATTTTAATAAATAATTTAATCATTTTATAAGAGACATGTAATATTTAATGTCAAAAGGACAAAAAAATGGTAGAAAGAAGACAACGGGACATGACAGACTGTGTGTGACAATGGGGTGTTGGAGTTTGGGCGCCCACGAAAAATAACGTTTTTTCTAAGACATAATATTTATAAATTATCACATTAGATATCTTTATATAAAATAGGAAAGGATAAGTGATCCTAATTATTTCTGGGTCGTTTCACAAGAAACTGAGGATCATTTTCTATGTGATAACCAACAGATCAAATACAGTTTTTATATAAAAGAAACATTGCCTCTATCATTGTGCCTTAACTTATGGTGTTGATATAATTATGATAAAGCTTCATATATTATTAAACTCCTATTAATTGGGTTATTTTACCAATTTAAATTATTCATATAAGATACGAGACAACATAATAAAAAATTAGTTAAACTGAAATGATATTAATACTTGAATCATGATGCACATGGAGATGCTTATGCTAATATTAATCACTATGTCTCCTACACATGACCCATGTTAATGTTAGGTATTCTCCTTCCTTCATTCAATAACTAATTTTAATCTGCCAAATCATTTTGTCTTCTTTTAATTATTTCAAGAACAACTGTTTGTGTTCAAAGTATAAACATGATTTATAATTTATAAACAAAGGTTATATCAGTCTAGTATGCTTTTAATTTTATATATGTATGTAAACAACAACATTGTAATCAACAAGAATATATACTATGATGATGAAAACTTTACTCCTTTTGCTATATTAACATTTTTTTAAAAAACTTTTTAAATAATGTGTAGCTAAAACCATCATTTTAAGCTCATAATTGTTGGCAAACGTCGTAACCTATGGGTCCTGTGTTGACTAGAACTGTATGCCCTGCATAAAAATACAAAAAATCAAAATTATATAACTCACAGCATGATAATTTACAGAAATACACATGCAGCACTTTAATCTTTTTACTAATATAGGCTATGTACTTTATATTTTTTTACTCGTAATATTAATTTATCGCTAATAGCAACAAACTTATGATTTTTTTTTTACTGATAATAGCAATATATAACAAATTGTAGCAACATACTTGCATATATTTACATGCAATAGCAATGCATTTGCAATTCTTAACGCATAATAGTAACGTACTTATATTTCTTTATGGATGATAGCAATATGTAACAATTAAAGCACACAAGCTATATTGGTAGGAAAATATAAGTAGTTTGGTATTATTGGGAAAAAAATATAACTACATATGTATCATTTGTGAAAGATAAAATACATTGTTTATATTAGTAAAGAAAAGTAAAGTACTTGCTATTACCTGTAATTTGACATTTTTTTTTTCTTTTTCAAAACCAAAGTACATGATTTTTCATTTTTAAAAAAAGAAAATCATTCTTGTGAAATGTGAAAAGACACTTCTTTCTGCAAGAGTGACTAGTTTTGGATAAAAAGTACCAAGTACATTGTTTTGTACAGCATTTACATTTAGACACCGACCAAACCACATGTTCTTGTTTTTCCCACATTTTCATAAAAATTATTAAGAATTTGAATCATTCCAGCAGTTAAACAGCAAGGATTTTTATACTAAAGTACTAAGGCTTCATTTGTAGACAAATATTTTATGGGTTATTTTTAGATGACAAAGATTAGGAGGACATTAATGTCTTTTCCACATACTAGAGTTATCTCAAAACGTTTTGGTTTTTACTTTTTAGGAGTTGAATAATATTGTGGTAAGAAATGTAAATACATACCTTAGCTTTGATAATTGAGCAGCAGCCAGAAGCATTGAAATTTGAAGCACAAAGAAAAGAAACGAAAAAGGGTTGTCCAGGTCAGCATAGAGAGAGAAAATGTTTAGTGTTGTATATATAGTTTGACACGTGGCTCCTATTTGATACCAGAAGATGCAGCAGATGCGATTGAAGCTTCCACTATTAAAGATACTGGTTGTCGAGCCTGAAGACAAGCAGCTATATCAAATGGACGCAACTCGGATCCATCAAATAGAAGATTGACACCTGGCAGGATAGTTTCTCTGCTGTCCATATCATCTGATTTACTACTACTTGAACTTGATTCAGTAGCCTCTTCAAACATACCCATCACAGTTTCATAAACAGGAGCAAGCGAATAGGATCTGCAATATCATTCAGAATAATTACACATCTATTAAAATATAAAATCGGAAGAAGAATTATTATGACATACCTTAAAATGTTGCCATCAAAGCTGAGTACTTCTGTACCAGAACGTTGCCTGTTAGCAAGCTTTAATCTTTGTTGATCGTTCGTTCCAGAAATAGGAGAAGAAGGTTCAGTGAGTGGATTCCATCTCTGGCTCGCGTAAGTCATAAGAAGTTTATTTGGAGCTTTTGGTTGATCGGATTTGGGTTGATGATCTCTTTGATAAAGCATCCTTGCAGTCGAACCAGTTGCTTGATACTCCGAACAGATCTTCTGTAACCTTTTCCTCAGTTCTTGCATCGCATTATGATGCTCTGTACACAAATTCGTCTGGAGTAACTGAGAGGAAACCACTCGTTTACATATATTTTTGCATAAATCCGGACAGAATAACGGAATCCCGAATTCCACACTCAACGGAACCCATTCGTATTTATCATCAGGTGTGAAACTGTAGTTGGGGTCGCTTTTAAACAGCTTCAACAAACGAATATAACCGACTGACCATAGCTCTATCTGACTTGCCAAATCGCTTAACAGAAAATTGAGTTTCGAGCTTTCGTCTGTATCAAGCCCTAATTCCTTCCCGATATCAGGTGATGAACCATCGGAGTTCTTCAACGGGAGAGGGACATCCATGGTGGTGATTTTTCCCGATTCGTCAAGGTCGTACCTGCTTAAAGGCTGAACTAACACAGCTGTGTGTTTCAAGAGTGAATTTAAACAATGGAGGAGTATGTTTCCTTTGACTAAACCCCCGTCGAATTTGTCTGAAACTGAAGTTTCATTCCACGACCATACCAGGGCTTTCTCGCAACCTGATAATGGCGCTGGAAGTAACCTTAAGAATTGACCTTTCATAAGGACGACGGATAACGGTCCACCACGAACAGCTGAGTAAAGTACGAGATTCATCCATGGTGTCAGGGAGGAGTAAGACGGCGGACCAAAATGAACCGGACCTTTAGGTCCGGGAAGTACAGAAGAAGGAGGAAGTGGTAACATTGAGACGACGATTTCATAGTCACGACGGAATAACCTGTCTAGCGTTGCTGGTGCGAGAGTAGCTAAGCTTTCACATCGCATGATATCGACATGATATCTTCTTATTTTTTTAGTTATTGCTTTTCCTGCATCAGATCCTTCAAAATTATGATCCGATTTGGAACCCTCACCTTCACAAGTGTCATCTGTTGCAGTGACAGTGGAATCGGAATCATTAGTATCTTCAGTTGCAGTAACAGTGGAATCGGAATCATCCGGTACACCTGCATCTCCAGAAACAGAAGCAGAGTCTTCGTTGGTTGAAGAATCCATGGAAGCTTTCCCTTTGCTGGGAGGCATTCCTCCAGATGTTAAACATTCCAAAACAGATCGGAGGCTGAATGCATGGTTGGCGAATTCCTGAAGGACTCCCTCGAATTTGGCTCCTTCTAACGAGCTAAGATCTTTGCAGAGATCTTCTATGCTAGCATGACCCAGTTTTCCTGCTTCGTATAATGTTACTGCATGCGACTTTAAACCTACAAATACAACCACCATGACATTTCTTGCATACAGGCCAACCAGGAAGAGGTAGAAGATAAAACAGAGTTACCTGGTGAAACAGAGCCCATCATAAGATATGATGTTATTTCCGCATCAACAACAAAAGCAACACGGGCATAACCAGAAGTAGGTCCATGGGCATCCGACCCATCAGGTTGAAAAACACTGCCATCAACAGATGTGTTTACAGATCCCACACTGGCACGAGAACAGTCATCTTCATCACCAAGTACAACATTTCTAGAAGATCCGGGACTATTTGGATCTTGAAGAATCGATCCAGGGTCAATTATTTTAACTGCCCATGCCAACCTACAAGCAAAAGAAGCAGCAGCCTGAAGTTGAGACAGTTCCACCTGTAATGTAGTCGCCAATTCAGCAACAGTTGAACTCTCACTTGAAACCACAAAAACAGCATAAAGCAACCTGCATGGTCAACTTCCCAACATCAGGATCTTCACTTTTCTTGTTGCGCAAGTTAATTAATTACTCATAAAAAAAAAAAAAGACCAATTCTCTTACTCCTCAATTGGATCTTCATATGACTGCTCTCTGTTTGAAACAAACCCTTCTAGCTTGCATACTGTTACAATATTAAACATGTCAATTATATCTTACAGTTTACCCTCTCTTTTTAAAGTCATGATTTAGATATAACTTTTTACCTTGAAATCGATCCTCAGCATAAACACAGACATCAAGGTAGACTAGTCCCCTTCGGTAAAGACCTTTGATGATGACAGGATCAAAGAGCATGAATGCATTTGTTTCCTCTTTGCATATTTTATCAATTGTTGCGATTTCTTCTTCTGAAAGCTTCTGCAATCAGAGTAAGAGAAGATCATCGTTATTATATCATAATCAAGATTAGAAAATAAATATATATATATATATTATTTGGAATGTTTAAAGATCATATGGATATATTTCGTTAATGGGTCTAAAATATACACATTATAATATATAGAGATGTGATATCACCTTAAATTCTTCAATTGTAAAGTTGACAAGACAAACTCCCCACCAAGGTTCGATTGTGATGTCCACTGGGTGTGTAGGCAATGATTCTCTAGCTATTGACTTGTTCAGCTTCCACATTATTTTCTAAATAGCTCCAAAATTATTATGAATAATTAGATTTTAAAAAACAAGATGTTTAAATTGTTATTGCAAAACAAGAACAGTAAAACTACAAGGGAATGTGGGAACACTCATGTACATGTCTAAGATTAGCAAACCTCACTGATTCAAAACTAAAATGAGTGCATTTAATACATTATAATAGTCTCAGATTATACTTTTATGTTCATTTCATGAAAAACTTTGCTACTTCAAAACGGTGACATAAATTTTGCGTACTGTAATGGAGACAAGTGATGTTAGTTAACCTATGAAAGTTCAATTGTTTATGACAAAATTCCAGGATGATATCTGATATTGGGACCTGTTTCTAGGAATCATCTGTCTATATCAACTCTACAAAGAAATCAAATTAGAGAAAAAGGTGTTGGGCATCTTTATTGTCATCTTTCTTTGTAAGTGCCTCATCTTCATTAATATATAACCTTTAAGTCATAATCACTAATTAAGTGTAGGGAGAATTCAACATACCACAACAATATCTATTAACCAGGAATGTTTCCAAGCATCTCTAGGGAAGTTGGACTCACAATCGCATTCATCATAAATAGACCCCTCTTTCTATTTTACAACAAGTTATCCTAAGTTATCCCCTATCCCCTACCTTAAAGTCTTGGACCATTATACTTTGCATGTGGTCATAATCACAATCTCTTGCAACTTGATCCTAGGTTCAAAAAAATATGTTTTCATAGGATATTTTTCCTCTGGAAAAAAGGTATAAATGTTTGTCACCAACTCAAAAAACGTGTTTTAAATTCAAATGATGTCACCTTCTTTGGGTCACATTTATGTTTTCCTTTGACTCATCTTCTACATGAGAACTTAATACAGGAATCACAAACCATCCCTAAAGCTCTATGTTACGACCCAAAGTTTCAAGCCAGATACAAGAAGGGCAAGTTCATCCAACACTTAGATTATGTCCCTATATTTCCATATAGATTTTAGAATGTGTCCATAAGTTTCATGTTATTTGTAATGCATGTACGTAAGGTATTCATCAAGTATACATGGGCACTAACCTTTTCATTTGTAATCACTTCACTTTCGAGACCAATAAGATTTCTATTGTATTATCTCCGTGTTAAAATTCATCTCTTATAGATTTATCTTTCTCTTTGCAAGTGCTCAACAAGTCCCTTTTGACCCTCACTACGGTTTACGTGCCATGTGGACCCTTCATAGTAGGATTGTCAAGTGTCACATGAGTGAGAAATTTAAAGCGTGACAAGTGGTACTAGAGACAAATCCAAACTTTGAAATTTTGAATGAAAGCTTTAGCGATGGTAGTAGAAGACAAAGTTGTTGCCAATATGCAATGGGAGCATGTGCATGGGCAAACCAATACTCACCATTAGATCAATCCAAGTGACCTAAATTGAGGAGCAATATATGTCCTCACGAAGGTCTCCTCTGATGAAGAGATCGATTGATCGAGCTCCTTTGATGGAATCAAGGCTCACATAATTGGAATGGAGACGCAATTAAACTTTTAACTCAAGGAATGCCAAAAATATTTAGGGCTTTCATATTTGTACTATAGATAACCAACCAAGATGCTACCAACTGAGCTAAAAAAGTTAGTAGCAAATATATTTGATTGGTAGTACCATACCAACTAAGTAATCTTGGCACGGTAATGGTACAAAAAGTTAAATATCATGGTTGTATTGTACCAACCTCTATATATATATATATATATATATATATATATATATATATATATATGTGTGTGTGTGTGTGTGTGTGTGTGTATAGTTAGAAAGTTAGAGTGATAGACAATATTGGCATGTTTATACATATGTTTAATTTTTTAGTTTACTAATTAACTAAAGAAATATTTAGGTTCGGAATGGATGGAATAGTTCCAACTTGGCGTAACTATAACATTAGTGTTGAAAGAGTACTGTGTGATAAACAAAAGAACGAGACTATCTCAATGTGTACACATACTAGAATTTGAAGTATCGAGCACCTCTTGCTTTCTTATGTTTTGTCTTCAACTTCATATGATTTTTTCTTCATGGTATATATCACTACCAACTTGTACCAATCAAACTTGTTGGTAACCAAACAAGTTGATACCAATTATACTTAGTACATTACTTGTAGCTAAATTTGTGTATCAACTAAAATCGGTACCGTACATGATTTAGGGAAAAATAATTGGTACGGTATGATGTTCACCCTAAAAATATCCATGGAGACCAAGTTTGGGATTGGCTATTTGGGAAAACTTCAAAAACATGATGAATACCAATCTAAATGATGTAAATGCCAATTGTATGTTGCTACTATAGAGATAAGCAAACAATCAGAAGTTAATTTGGCCACAAGATAGAAAGTATCCGAACAATCTAGACCGTTAGTTTGAGAATAGTCTTTGGCCACAAGGCGAGATTTAAGAAGAGAAAGAGCCATCAAAGTTTCCTTCACTGTAAATACCTTCCTTTTTTCTTGTAGGTAAATCTATTAACTTCAATGTCCTATTAGTATCTAAAGTATTCATTTCTTCTGCTTTTGCATCATCTTGCCATCCAGGATATGACAAGGCTTCAGAAACCGTTTTAGGAATAGTAGTAGAATCAAGAGGTTCCATGAAAGAACAAGATGAACAAGACATGTGAGCATAAGAAACCGATGATGAAATAGGATAAGTACTTTGCCTTTTACCTTTACAAAATGCATTGAAGGATTAAGATTATTAGACACGCAATCTCACGGTGATGAAGAAACTGGCGGAGGACATGAAAGAAGAGGATTTGATGGTTATGAAGCAACATGCAAAGTATGTAAAGGGAGATTATGTTCTTTTCTAAAGTAAACTTGTTGAATTAGTGGTTTTGATAATTGTGGAATAGGAAGAGCTAAGGTAGAAGATGTCTGAGGTAGTACGTACAATGTAGACTAACGAATCATTATTCTCCACAAAGTAGAGGTAAAGAAGGCAATATGTTGAAGAGTAGCATATATGGACACCAGGTATTTGTGAAGAGTAGGAAAATAGCAACAATAACCTCTTTGTGGCCAACAATATCCAAGAAAAACAATTTAAATGACTAGGGGTTTAACCTTGTGAGATGAGGTCGAACATCACGAACAAAACAAGTGCTACAGGAAACCATCTTGTGCTAAAATTTCTCTTTTCTTGCTTTGTCATATTATCAGTATGAAGAATTCGAGCAAAAACATCATGCAATGAAGATGCTTCACTACCAGAGAGGATAAAGAGGAGAAAAAGGAAAAAAGAAAATGGTCTTTGTCACATGACAAAGCAAGATAAGGAAAATTGTATTGTAGTGTAGAAGGAGAGTTACAAGCATGTCAACCAAGTTAGCCTAAGGCATCAAAGAGAAGACAGCTGCCAATTCCAATAAGAAAACAACATTTCTTTTTCTATATAAGTTCATATGACGAGTAATCATAACCTAATGTCACAGATAAGAGCTACCTTACAGACATTGTAGCTTAAAGAACAATTAGTATAATATGCTTCCATTTCAAGAAAAAAATGAACACATCAAATATGTTTATTACATACAAGGGAACAAATTAAGAGTGTATATCATGAAAGGGAAAAAGAAAAATGATATACGAACCTCAACAGAATCATATATCGATATGTAATGCCATCAAAATACTATAAATTAATTCATACCTTAGATCTGCACCTGTTCATGATATCAATAAATTCATTTCTGCCTATCCCAGTCAGTCTCAAAGCATCTGCCGCACTAAAATTTGGAATTCGATCATAAGACTGTTCTGCATTCAAGATAAACATCAGTCTTTCTGGAAATCAAATGAAAGGCTGCATATCAAAAAAATAAATAAATTATATAATTCAATCCAATGGGCTACTACCATTTTTCATGACTTCAAAGATCATATCGCAATAGTATCTGAATGGAGAGACCCTCATTACACGACAAACATACTCAGAAAGATGATAAGGAAACAGCTGCAAGAAAAAAAAAACATCAACTTCATGCCTCGATCAAGGGAACCTCATATATAAGAACAAGACTAAAGAATTTGTTAAATATTAAGGCTGTGGGTGAAAAATACATAGAAACTATGAAGCTCCCTTTAATACTTACAGCTAAGTTTTTGCGTAAATAACGCATCATGTCCTCGTAATATTCACCTTCTCTGCATACTTTTCGCACAAAAGAAGTGCGCCATTGAAGCCTTTTCTTTATACAATGTTCAGTTATCCTGCACAACAATACAGTTATAATGCAATGCAAGGTTCCCTTTTTTGGCCAAGTTTCAAACCAGAATTTCATCATGTCCATTAGTAGTCATTGAGAAACAATAAAACTATTCATTTTAATCCATAGGATTATCCCTAACTTGTCAGTACTGAAGGAATACTAGAAGGATAATAAAACAACTTCTATAAACTATGTGATCATGTAAACAAAACATCTATTGCGGGAGTAAACAATTTTTTGAATAAGGGGTACCAAATTTTAGTCGGTGCAATCAGAAACTCAAATTCAATTGAACACATCACCTATTCTGTTAATCTAATCAATAATTAAACAAACGCAAGTTTCTGCTGCAACTAAAGGAAGAAAAACAAGCTAGCAACATACTGCAACAACATTAACTGATTAACTAAACGAACCTTTTATGCCATTCATCCCTAGAATTCAAACTCGCCTGGAGACGTCTAGGGAGACTCTCCCAAGAACATTCCTCCTTAATTGCTCTCAATATCAACTGCTCCTCAATCGTCGACTGTGCGTGCAGCATGCTAACCGAATGAAATAACCTAAATTACTTCTACTCGACAAAATCACTAAATCCTGCACCGATTAATAAAATAACAATGTGTTGGCACAATTAATCAAACAATGCAATTGTTTCATCAACGAAATGCGTCATGGACGACGATTTACCTGGATCAATGGAAGGTATTGTAGGGTTTTATGAATGTAACGATGGAGATCGGTGGAATCATATGGGGGTCATGACGATTTCATTCTCTGTTCGTTAATTATGACGCCATCAATTGCATGTTGGTGATAACCACCATTTTCATTTAGAAACATGTTTGTACGCGAGGAGTCAGAACCATTAATTGCAACAATTTTTTAATTTATGACAAATGATGTTATTTTGCGTTAAACTTTTTTGCGACTATGAGATGGTCCAGGGAAAATGACTTATATAGGTAACAAAGTTGTAAAAATGTTCGGAAAAAAAAAAAAAAAAACATCAAAGTTTGTTTTTTTTTTTAAAATCATCTAACTATAGATTTGTATAAAAAACACCAACTAAGTTTACCATTAAATCTAACCGGTCAAAAAAAATTTCCTTATCATTTTAACAAACTGAAATTATAAATGACATGGCATTTTTTTTAGTCTTACGTTGATTAATTGGAAGGGAAAGAGTGAACACAGAACCCTCTCTAGGGTCCGTTTCTGCTCCTGTATATAATTATTATTGTTTAAATTGACTGATTTTAACAGTTGACGAATCTGCTTCTGCTTTGGGCTAATCACACATACATCTTTTTTATGACCAAATTGCCCCTGTATACAGTTTTTTTTGTTAGAATTGACTGATTTTAACGGTCACTTAAGGTGTTGTTCAGAAACTATTAGTATCCAAGACCATTTACATGCTTGTGCACAAAGACGAATCTACCCTTGATTGTGATCAAACAACCCCTGTATACATATTTTTTATAACTAAAAACACCCCATGTCCTAGAAAAATATGACACTTCTATACAAAAGCTAATATCAATTTCTCACTACAAATCAACTAATAAGAAAAGAAGTGGGGCAACTCTCTAAAATGACCAAAATTTGAATTGCAGTGTCACAAATATTGACATTTTTTAAAACTATAAGGAAATAATGATTTGTTTTGTAAAATATACAAAATCTGTTTGTTGTTGTGTACAACTGATCCGCAAACATTTACATAATTCTCGTTAGTGTACTTTGCAAAGTGGTGTTGAAGTAATTTGGGCAACAAAAGTATTTACAACTATATTAATATTCTCTAAATAATCATATATAATGAAAATAATGGTTTGTTTTGTAAAATATACAACCCATACTGTATTTTTGACAGTGTTGTAAATATCGGCCTAGGCGGCCACCTAGGCGGCGCCTAGGCGCTTGGCGGTCTGCAACTGATTACAATTAGGGGTGTTTGGCGGAAATTGGTTATACTCGGTCTCGGCGGTCTTCGGCGGTCCTTGGCGGTCCTTAGCGGTCCTAGGCGGGAAAATTTTCAAATTTTCAAATATTACACAAAAATTAACAAAATTTTAAAATTTTAAATTTTTAAATATTCAAGATTTCAAATATTATACCAAATATTTAAAAGTTTCAAATTTTCAAAATTTTAAATATTCAAATACTAATTTTCTTAGAATGTATTAAATTTTAAAATATTTTTATTAGTAATTTAGGGTCTCCGATTAATCCCCGCCAAATCGATTAATCGCTTGACCCCAGTCAACCGCCGAGCAACCATCGAGCGATTTTTACAACCATGATTTTTGATAAAAAGAAAATAATGATTTTAAGAGTTTTTGTCCAAAATGCCCCTATATACTGTTTTTTTGGTAAAAAAAAATAATGATACAACAGTTTTTGACTAAAATGCTCATATATATATATATATATATATATATATATATATATATATATATATATATATATATATATATATATATATATATTTTAACAGGTTTGATTCCATCTGAATTGTGATTTAGCTTAAAATTGTATGCCATTTTGACAATTTTATTGCTTTTAATACCATTTACTCTGTCAAATTTGTTACATAGGATGTATTATGTGCTGCAATAAATAGTTAAAAAAATAACTAAAAGTCTACAAAGATTCAAGGTAACATTAGATAATACTTTGTCATTTCCAGCAACAAATCTTCACTTGCAGGGACTAAACTTTGTCATTTTTAGCAACAAACTTTATGGACCAACAAAAAGAGGTTAATAAAGAATCTAAATGGCATTCAATTGTAATAGCCCTTCTGTTGTAATTCCTTTAACCGTGACCAAATTGTCATCTGTTGTGATTCCTGTAGATTTAAGGTAACATTGTTTTAAATGAAAAGATCATTTATTAGCTTGTTTACATAAAGTCTTTCTTAGTTTGTTTACATAAATTAATTTTCTGTCAATTCCTTTCAAGACAAAAAAAAAAAGGAAAGCAGGAACTTGTATTCATGCAAGTACTTTCATTGTTTTTCTCACTAACGATTGTACTTCCTTTGCTATTTCTTGCATAATAATAAACAAATTCAAAGCTTTGTGGTTGAGGTTCAAGTAACAGATCTTGCGTAATAATAAACGGATTTAAAGAGGAGAGGAGCCATATGACCACCTAATGCCCTAAATTGATTTATAATATGTATTTTTCATTTTATGTTGAGTAGATGTATCAACACACTACATAAATATGCAAACTAAGCATTACTTTTGCTAACTCAACCGTTCACATGAAAGATCTAGTTACCAACGGATCGGATTTGAACAAAAGATAAACTTCGTTGGTATTTTATACTTGTAGTTGAATGATATTTTTTGAACAACCAAAACTTCAATGGTCATTTTTGAACGTTTTTAAAACTTTATAAATCATTTTCCGATGATCTATTTTGATCTACAAGATTCTAAACAAAAGGTATCTTAAAAATCTAACATGTAGGGTCCATATAAATACTTTATCAACTTTTTGGAGTTGATGTGGCAAACGACCAAAGGGATCTGTTAAACGATTTGGACATAATCATGGTTCAGTTGTGGCCTTATCGTAAGCACCCAACTGATTATATCAACTACTCTCTTGAGGCCCAACCCAACCGACTCGGAGACCGGTTAAAAAACTTATTTAGTTATTTATATATAACCATTTTTTTGTATTTTTAATATAAGTTAATTATTATTTTTCAAATAAGTTAAAATGTATCAAGTTTTATAACGGTTGCCAAGGCCCTTCTATGTCGGTTAAGAATTTTTCCATACTAAGTCCAGTTATAAATATAAGCGGAGGCGCATTGGATCCTGGGTATCTCGGGATGTCCCTCAAAAAAATATTAGCAATGTAAATATTTTCGGAAAAAATTGTTTTATGTTGCAGTTATACTTCGGAAAAAAATTGGGCTACCCTAAAAAAAGTTCATGTTATTTCTAAAAGGTCCGAAATACAAACAAACTCGCCCAAATGGTCTAAAATTTTTAGACCCATGCCAATTAATTTATTGAAACAAATAGAGATATAAATCCAATTAGTTTAATGAAAAAAACCGGACGTGTTTTTTGTCTTCTGATCGTCGACTTCAAAAATCAGAAGTTGGATCGTCTTCTGTTTCTTTGCCTGACTTCCCCGCCAAAATCACATCTTTGTCTGCCGATAGCTTATTCCCGCGACCGCTTACGGTGGTGAATGATCAACCTCATCAAAGTACACAATGAAACAAGTATTATAAAAACTACTCAATGGTGGTTGTAACGGTTGCAAAGAAGCATGATGATATTGAAGAATTTTTTGAACAACTAGTTTTGGTGGTTATTGTCATTTGTGGGTCCTGTAAGAGAAAAGACATGATACGAGAGATGCAAAAAGAAAGAGTCGCAACCGAAATTGGTACTGGTGAAACTGGAACATGAAGATAGTTGAATCAAGATTTCTCTTGTTCGATCTGGAGTGAAACGTCCCATTTTCACAACCAGAAATTTTCATTTTTATTCAACTAAAACCTCCTAATTCTAGATCTATCATTGAGAAAACGTTTATCCCAAATAAAATTATTAAGGATCAGAGTAATATTGAAAACGCAGAATCTTCATTGCTGTTGATGAATGTGTACAGTCACGCCTTCACCTTCCCGAGATAATTGATGATACCTGAAACAATAAACAATTGTATAAGCACGAAGTTTAGTGAGTTTCCCCCCAAAATACCCCGTACGATAAACATACAAGCATACATAACGACCCACAATCTCCCGGTTGGAATGACATGTCCAATCAGTCCTCGGACTGGAATGCCAACATGCAACTGGTCCAATCAGCCAGTGGGCTGGAATACCCAGGGATTGTTGGCCTACCGCCTCAACCCAACCACTATTCCCGAGCCTTCGTGCCTACAACTTACAACCAACCCGTACCGAGTATCTTGGCCTACACCACAAAGTAGGACCGCCTCAAACCACTATTACCATATGTTAACATATAAACAATCAGGATCATGTAGGCACATAATACAGACAAACATCAATCATACAACTCATTACCGCCTACTAGTCCTTTCATGGCATAGAGTCCCGCTACCATCTAACCTCTATGAAATGTGTAACCATAAGTACCTAAAGGTTAGATAGCTACCCAAATAGATGATCCTACTCTAGATCCACAATCAAACAAGGAACAAGTAAGAAAGCCTAGATCAAGAGTTCTCAAGCTATCCTACATGACTATATACAGTCCCTAGGGCACTCTACTGGATGATAACTAGCAAGTACATATAAACATACAGTTCTACAGATTACTACTGCATAACAACATCCTATATACCAGGATACAGATCTAGCATATCACCACATCATAGCAACATACTCGATACCAGGATACATATCTGACAGATCACTACAACATAACAATATACGAAATATAAGCAATCAAAGGAATGCATAACCGTATATACTAAGAGGTGAGATAGACACCCAGACAAATGATCCTAATCTATAACCACAACCAAATAAGGAACATGTAAAAGATCCTAGATCAAGAGTCATCAGTCTATCCTACATGATTTTATACAATCCCTAAGGCATCCCTCTACTAACAGATAACCAAAACTAGTGGGCCGACATTGGTGCATTCGACGCACGGGTACAGCGAGGCGAAACTCACCTAAATCGAAGAACTCTTAACACTACAATACGATCCCTTTTTCAGTATTGCTTGCTCCCGTGAATCTACTAACACCAGAACCAGATAGAATCTCAATCAATATCCCAAAATCCTTAAGTTTTACCCAAAGTTAAACTTGGTCAAAAAGTCAATGGTCAACATCCCCTCATGACGTGATCCGATCTGGAAAATCGAGTGTTACGTGGAGATACTAGATGGGTTTCACATTTTAGAACAATTGTAAGTTTGTTGAATTTGTTTGTAGAAGTTGTTGTGGTTCTTAGATATGTTAAAGAGGAGGGGTCTACTTTATCTAACCGTAATCAAGAAAATGGTATCTTGTCATGTTTATTAGGTTTTCTTAAAACAAAAATATGTTGTCCTTACTAGTATACCTATTCTGATTTACTTGATAATCCCTTAAAAGAGGAAAGAGGTATATGGGATCATATAGATATTTATTCTTATTTCTACTCTTATATTAGGGATTACAATAAGTATCACCATAGTTCTAAATGGCGTGAGGCGCACACTTGACGGTCAAGCCTAAGCCATGACGTATTTCAAGGTGTGACAATTTTATATACATTAAAAAAGATAAATCATATAGTTACTGAATTATATAAAATATATCAAGTTTTTAGAGGTGGTTATGACTTTATACCTCTGAGATGTTGCCCTTGATGTAGAGTTTATGGATCCAAGTTCACTTCTCCAAGCTTGATACTTCTCTCTTCAAAACCTCATTTAAAGATCTTCAACAATCATCCAAACACTCACAAAACTCAATGAACAAGAGGAAGGCGATTCTAGGGTTTTCTTTGGGCAAGGAGACTGGTAAGGAGGCCAACCCTAGGAGTGAAATCCTTTAAATAGGGTGCAATAACTGAAAAATTAGGGTTTTCCTTTCCAGTACCAACTAGTCGAGTAGGTCCTCCAATTTACGCGGCTGGAAAGCTTTCTACTCATCGAGTTTGAGCCTCCTTCCAATATTTAAAAATAATTAGAATTAATTCATACATGGACCAAGCGTTACAAATGATGCTTTGATTTGTAGTGTATAAATGGAAGCACTAGAGAATGTTAAGACTGAAAATGTAATTACTCGCGGAGATGTGAACTTTAAAACATAACTTTGTTATGAAAGTTGAACTTTATGTCTAATGAAATTGTATTTTTTTATTGTATATTATGTGATTTTTTTCGATATACCCCTTTAGTTTGGTTCTAGCTCCGCCACTGATTGACAGGTTTGGTTTATGTATAAAAAATAAATTATATTTTTTTTGTAATTTATAGAAAATTTCTTTATGTAGATTTTTTTACATAAATGGTCAATAAAATTTCATATATTGGCATGTTTGATCTCTATATAAAAAATCAATTATAAAAATTATCCTTATAATTCATAGGAAAAGTCATTGTGTATTTATTTTACATAAATGGTCTATAAGTTTAAAAAAATTATAAAAATAGTTCATACCTAATAAAAATTTATGACCCATACAAAGTAGGAGTCCTAGTTTGACCTAATTGACATTTTAAATTTAATGAAATTTTATTAATATGTGAAAGTTATATGGGCCTTTCCGTTATTCTGTTACATCAAAAATAGATAAAAGTCATAAAAGCATTTTTGTTGCACTTAATTTAAGAGACTATATATGATACACATATTTTTTAGAGATGCAAAAAGTTAAAAGTTATATAAACTACAAAAATAGAAAGTTGAAGGGCTACTTCTATATTTAGCTCAACCTAGCAATATAAGAACGTACGGAATTGGGAAAACACGGTATATAAACCACGTATTTTTAATTTGCCGGCGCCTCCTTCCAAATCTGTTCTACATTCTGCATTGAATTAGGGCACGCGCTCGTCTTTCAGGCCGGAGTGCTATCGTCTATTCGCCGCCGATTTCTCTCTTCATATCTCCGTCAGTTCCTTTTCATCATCTCCGGTTTCTTTTTCTACAAATCAGATATCTGACATTCTGACATCTTTGCTGTGCTTCCCTTTTCTTGTCTGGTCTGTAGTTCAGTTTGTAATATTCACTTGCTATAGACGGTAGATAGGGTTGTATGATGGCTCTTCGTTTCGAGGTAAAGATTTCATTAACCTGTAATTCCACATTGCTATCGTAAGAGTGTTTAAAGGTGCAAAGAATCATGAGTGGAATCGGATTCCAATGATATAAGTATATCTATAAACATGAATATAATGTAGCTATACAACTAAAAATCCATTTTAATCTTCCAACACAAGGGTCCAGTTTTGATTTTAAAAGTTCCTCTGGTGGCTTTTTGCATTAAAAATGTGATCATTAGTTAATCTTTCATTCAAAGAACAATAGTTTGTATGAGAATGCTGAAAGTTGATCTAGTAGTTTTTAGTTTTTTTTTTTTTTTTTGGTTTGGATAGGTTCTTGGGAGGTTCAATCGTGCTCGTGCAGCTAGGTTGACACTCCCTCACTTCACCTGCCACACGCCTCTTTTTATGCCAGTAGGAACACAAGGTTAGAACATTTGAATTTCATTCTTCCATGTGATACTATTTATTAAACTGCAACTTTTGACCTAAATTTACATTCATTAGTTTTCATGAGTTAGTAATTGTTGTTTTTTTTGTATGGTTGGAGGCAGGGACAATAAAAGGTTTGACAACCCCTCAACTGGAGGAGATTGGGTGCCAAATTATACTTGGAAATACATATCATCTTGCACTTCGTCCAACTTCTGAACTAATTGATGAATTTGGGGGCCTTCACAATTTTATGAACTGGCCCAGGGCACTTCTCACTGATTCTGGTGGTTTTCAGATGGTAATTTTTCATTCTCATATATCTCTTTATCACCAACTTAACAACATAATTCATTGCTTATCATATAATTTCTATCTACCTAATGGAATTTAATGTTCTTTTTTGTCATTATAAAATTTTAGTGTGCATCACTTTCAGGTCTCACTGTTGCATTTAGCTGACATCACCGAGGAAGGTGTCACATTTCAGGTTCTCTCTCTCTCTCTCTCTCACACACACACACACACATTTTTACAAGCTCAATATGGAATTTAGTGTTCCTACTTCATTGTAGCCGTCTTCCATAACTAATGTTTGATAATGCATTCTGCAGTCACCAGTTGATGGAAAGCCTATGCTCCTAACCCCTGAAGAATCAATCCAAATCCAAGTAAGTTTAAGTGATTATTAAACTTAACACCTATGATGTATGTGGAAATAAGTTGACAATGAAATATATATATTTATTTCGGTAATTAACCTTCATGTTTTGTGGTGTATTGCATATATCCATCTACTTTTGTAGAACAGAATTGGAGCAGACATTATTATGGCTCTTGATGATGTAGTGAAAACCACCATTACAGGTCCGAGGATTGAAGAAGCCATGCATCGCACTTTGCGTTGGATAGACAGGTGCATAGCAGGTACATTTTTTAATATCAACAATATTTTCAATTTTCAGTATTATTTTTTTTAATTGATAATTTGATATGCAGCTCATAAGAGACCAAACGAGCAGAATTTATTTGGAATTGTACAGGGTGGTTTAGATCCTGTTTTAAGGTGATTAATAACACTAACACTCCATTCATTATTCATATATAAATTAGTTATCACCAAAAGACTAACTTTTACTTATCAGGGATATATGTGTCCAAGGTTTGGTGGAAAGGAATTTGCCTGGGTATGTACACCAACACAACCCAACTAGAATATTATTTGATTAAAATTTGATTTTGTTATTTTTAAAATAATAATAATATATGGATTTTACTTGTGCAACCAATAGCTATGCTATCGGTGGCCTTGCAGGGGGGGAAGATAAAGATTCATTTTGGCGTGTTGTTGCACAATGCACAGCTTCACTTCCTGAAAGCAAACCCCGATATGTTATGGTACTTTATGTCACTTTTTTTTTTTTTTTTTTTGGTGTATCTTAAGTTAATATAGAGGTGTGATTATATCTTTTCAGGGTGTTGGGTATCCACTTGATATTGTAGTTTGCAGTGCTTTGGGTGCTGACATGTATGACTGTGTATATCCTACACGTACAGCTCGATTTGGCACTGCTCTTGTGCCTGAGGTATCCTATTGCATTGACAAATTTGCCCCTGGGTCTTAAAAGCTTATCATCACTAGTAAACTTCTCATGTTTTGATTTCAGGGGGTCTTAAAACTAAAACACCAGTCAATGGCTGAGGATACCCGACCGATTGACTCAACATGCGAGTGTATGGTATGCTTATGAATTATAAATTAAGATCATATCTTTGATTTTCCTTTGTTGATTATAAATTTATAACGTAGGTTTGCAAAAAATACACAAGGGCCTACCTTCATTGTCTTGTTACAAAAGATGCCATGGGTTCTCAGCTTCTCTCTTATCATAATTTACACTACATGCTGCAGGTAATGAATTTCTGATCATTTATGTTTATTCATATCTCTTAAGCTTCATTATCTTTTTCTCATAATTCAACATCAAATCATTTTAATTTGCAGCTTAGTAGAAATCTTCATTCCTCAATTATAGAAGGAACATTTCCAGAGTATGTTTTCCTTTTAACTTTTTGTGCAGTTTTTCCCTTGGGTATTATTATTATTGTTTGGATCTGGGAGACAAGTTCTTATCTGCCACCAATGTTTTTTCCTGTAGATTTGTATGCAACTTCTTGAGGAAAATGGTATGTGTACTTTTGGCATTACTTCACTATATTCAATTAAAATCCATCAATTTATATTTCAGAAAATTGTTTTTTTGTAGTTCCCAAAAGGTGATGTTCCAGAATGGGTCTGCAATGCAATGGAGGTTGCAGGAATAGACATCTCATCATGTTCCACTTCTACTCCAGTTAACTCAAACAAAGATTAACAACATACATACTTGATACTTGATATTTCAACCAAAGAATCAAACTACATTAGCTATTTCTTGACCTTGAGGTCCAAAATGTTATATAAGTCGTTGCTTACAGTATGCAGCATAAATTTTGTAATCTATATGCTGCTCCTTCCTTTGATTCCCTATAGTTTGCATAGATTCTAATTTAAATAGCAAGTGGTAGACAGTTATTACTTTAACATATACGTTGGGGGATTGCTGTTGAAAGATTTCACAGTAGGCCATTTTCTAGATTGGGTTTCACATGGTGAGATTTTAACTTGTTAAAGTTTTATATATTTGTGTTATCTGTATGATCTATCCGATACTTAGTTTTATATAAATGTTTAAATAAAAATCTAAATACATATAACACCTGTTAATAAAACTGAATTAAGAAAACGTGTGCATCATATAAATTTGAAAATAATCCTAACTTCTAGATAATTCGAAATAACGATTTTTGTGAAAAAACAAGAAATGGATGATATTGTACAGTACTACATTTATATACTTCACTGAGATATTGAATATATAGCCCATTAAAGTTATCAGTAGGCTACGTGCAGCTCAAAATGTATTGGGCCAATAGCTTTACCCTCTGAGGCTCTGACCCTCTCAAGTCTCAACTTATTACGGGAAAATGAAATAAAAACCTTAACTTTAAATAATTTTATCGGTTTTATCATTTTTTTTCCTGTTTTACCAATAAAGTTTAAATTCAAATTTTTAGTTTTACTACTTTTATCTTTTTTTTTTTTTTTTTTTTTTTTTCACTGGTTTTTGTATTTTCTTAGAGTGAAACTTGCTTACTCTTAAGTTTGCAAAAAAGTTTCCTAAGTATGTTTTTTTTTTTTTTTTTTATTTAGTTTTATCCGGTATTTTTTATGAAACTTGTTAATTTTACTTATTGTTTGGTTCATGTTTATTGGGTTTTCTTGAAACAAAAATATGCTGTCCTTAGTGATATACCTATTGTGATTTACTTGATAATTCCTTAAAAGAGGTAAGAATCACAATGGATCATTAAAAAGAGGTCGATGGATCATAGATGTTTATTCTTATTTCTACTTTTGTATTAGGCATTACAATAAGTATCACCATGGTTCTAAATGGTGTGAGGCGCGGACTTTATGATTAAGCCTAAGCCATGACGTATTTCAGGCATGACAAAAAAACTTACGCTATAATGCAATAAGGAGCGCCTTAATATGTTATTTGGGCGTCACCATTAACAAAAAAAAAAAAAATGTCTTAGACGTTTTCGTAACAGCTATATCATGTATCGCGTCATAGCACACATTGACGCGCCTTGTAGAACATGTGTATCACTGCGATCTACTTGATCTCAATATATATTCTTATCTCAAGAAATGGCCTATAAATTTACATAAAAACTGAATCTCATTTTCTATATACAAGAGTTAAGAAAAGTAAATATGAGTATGGAGATTGTTTCATATATAAGATATGTGCCTTACTCGTAGTAGCGTTAACCGGAAAAAAGATAAAAATAAGTAAAATCAACAAAGTTGCATGAAAACTGCAGGGTAGAAATGAAAAAAAAAAAAAAAAAAAAAAAAAAAAAAAAAAAAAAAAAAGAAGAAGAGATAATTAGGGTAAAACGTAAATGTTTTGCAAACGTAAGGACTTGAGGGTTTTCTTATGAAACAAACCTTATCATTGATGAACTAACCGATGAATAATGAATTCCTTTTGAAACAACTATAGAAAAAACCAATATTATCATCGTCATGCCTTGAATATGATTATAGATTTTATCATAAACCCCAAACATGCTACTCTCTATTTAGAGGCATTATAACGATGCCTATCTAAATTCATTAAGTATAATAATATTAAATATATAAAACAAAAATCAAAATGTTAAACTAACAAAATTTCGATCAAAAACTATGTTTTAATAGTGACAACAAACAAATAGATTTTTAAATTACCAAATAAATCATATAAAATTGCAAAATATATTATGTTGCGGTGGAAAAAATATTGATGTTTGAAATAATAGTTAACGATCAAAATTAAAAATATGCTTAAATAAATAATTTTTAAATTAAAAAAGTAGGAAATTAAAAATTATATTTAACTTTATTTACATATAATTTATTTATACTTTATATATATATATATATATATATATATATAT